AATCCCAGATGGAGGGAAAAAGTTCTCCACTTCAGTTGGGAGTCAAGACAATGATGTCTATGAAGCTCTCACTTTGATGGGTGAATCTCTCCATTTTTCAAACCTCCACTTTTCTTTTTCTTTAGCATTCAGGGCCTTTAGGGTTCACTGCTGCAGATATCCCCCGCTTCCATCCATCTCAGTGAGTGACCTTCTCTTTCTAGTTAGTGACTCCTTGTGTTTGTAGTCTGGATATTATCGGTCTGCCATCTCCTTAGTCTGCCTTGTGGTCTTATCAGGAGATCAGTCAGGCCACTCCATCATTGCTCCATACCTACGTCAGTATAAATCACACACAATGCCCATATCTGTCCTATGTGACAAGTCAGACAGACAGCAGTCCCTGCAAAATCCAAACACAAGCACATGGATCAAATACATAAGGCAGCCACCAGAGGTGTCAGCATAAACAGTCTGTAGCTAGCGTAGCAATTCATAGCTGCTGAAAGCAGCAGTCACAGCAGAACAAGAGCTGCACAAGCATTACTGCATCAAGGACATCACCAGTTCTGTGACCACCAGCTACTTGCTATTTTCTATATCTACAAAACACATCTCTTCATGGTATACTCTCAGAAAACACTTTTGTGAATGCAGTTTGTATCTCTCTGTTATCTGACCATCTCTCTCTATGCCCCAAGCAATGCAGTTTATCAGTAGTCCTCATAATGCCAGTGATCAATTTAAACAGATTAGAAATGTTGTTGCTGCTCACTCTCCATTCTCCACAACTGTTCAATCTCCAGTATCAGCATTTAATGCTATTTCAAAGATATTCTGGGGTCTCCATGGCAAAGTGGGTAAACTTTCTGATTTGCACTCTTAGCACTGTGGGTTTTGTTTCCCAGACTGCATCATTCAGGTTATGAATGCAAGAGATCCTTAGAGATTATTACTGAAATTATGCAGTGTGTGCTTTGTTCGACACTCAGGAAATGGCTAGCAATTTTGCCTAGAGAATGAGAGACACTAAGTCATATATGTTGACACCATGTGCAATGAAGCCCAGTAACTACTTCACAATTTAAACCTCAAAGATGTGCTTTTACCAAAACAAAATAATCATTCACAACTTCCTTACAGATTTTTACAAAAGCATCTGCTAAACTACACAATAATTTGCCCAGACTGGACATCTGACATGATGGCTGCCTCCTAAACAAAGACCAATCAAATGAACAATAACCACTACACACCTTTTCCAGCTGCTGAAAGTTGATCAGAGGGACAAATAAATCAATCAAATTAATTATTCCTCACAGGCAACAAAGATGCAATTTAACTGTCTTTATTTTTTCTGGCTGAGGAAGCTTTTCTAGCCACATGAATTTTGTCACTCAAGATTGTTTTTTGGGAAGCTGACAAGTTTCTGTTTTCCATTTTGGTAGATTTCTTCTTATGCTACTCTTTATCTCTCAAATAAAGTTTCGCTCATTCATTTAAAGAAGCATTAGACCTTAAACTAACTGCAGTTGGTTAGCTTTTGTAGATGAAGTTTATTGATGAGATGGGGTAGCCATTCCCAAGATCAATCATATACTAAGACACCTTTAGTGACAGCACTGCATGGTAGAATATTACTATTCTTTACTTCAGCAAACAGCCCTGGTAACAAATCTTAAGAGACACAATAAGACATATTAGGGTGTAAATAATAACACATATTAAGGGCAACTAAACACCCCAGTAACATACTAAGGGTCCCAGTAACACCCTAAGGGTCCTAATAACACATGTCAATGACCACGGTACCACATTCTAAGCATCACATAACACACCATAATGGCACCAGAAACACACTGTAATCAGCATCTTCTCTCTCCGTCTCCCTCTACCCCTTTTCCCTTCTGCCCTTTACACCATCATAATGTATTCCATAATGTACTTCTCATGGTGTGACCACAGAATGTAGATTGTTTCCTTCTGATGTGGGTAATCAGCTGTCTTCATGAGTGATTTCTTTCAAGACATCTTCATTACTCTTTTATTATGTCCAAGGTGTTTTCAGCTTTCACCTTTAAAACCCTACCTTGGTAGCTTCCACATAACTTTTCACAAACTGTCCATGATTTACATCCATGAATCAGGATAATAACTACAGTGCTTAAGAATTCTCACTCCTCCCACTTAAACCCCCCTTAAGATCATTCAAGTTGAACGAAATGTGTATAACCGTAGCTTTTCTTTGCAGATTACTCGCGTAGTCCTAAATTTCTTCATGTGAGACCAGAGTCCCTACTGATTGGGTAGTCCTAGCCAACCTGTCTATAGAGGATCTCGCTGCCTAGCACTGTTAAAGGGGTTGGTTGATCAGGAGTGAAATCTTCACAAGAGCCTATTAATTATTGAAGACATCAACTTTATAACATTCCTTTTGATGTCGATTCCAGTATTGGGGGGGGGGGGGGGGGGGGGGGGGGGGGGGGGGGGAGAGAGAGAGAGAGAGAGAGAGAGAGAGAGAGAGAGAGAGAGAGAGAGAGAGAGAGAGAGAGAGAGAGAGAGAGAGAGAGAGAGAGAGAGAGAGAGAGAGAGAGAGAGAGAGAGAGAGAGAGAGAGAGAGAGAGAGAGAGAGAGAGAGAGAGAGAGAGAGAGAGAGAGAGAGAGAGAGAGAGATGGACAGACCCACCGTCCTCCTAAAAGACATGTCACAAAGGTGAACTAATTGATAACATTTTCTTCAAAGTCAGAGTGCATCTGTCTGAGAGTCCAGGAACCAGCAGTCTGTATACAAATATGTCAGATCTGTAAATACGGATGTGCACATAAGACTCGAGTTCTGGAACAAGACCAAAGTCTAAAAGTGGACAAACAACCAGAACTTTCTGCCAGCCAGAGTGTAGAGGTAGGTGGTGAATGCTAACAAGAGACAATAATTTTCTAACTGTAGAACAGCACTGGTACAAGAAATTACTTATTATTATCAAACACATAAACAGTATAAATCTCCAAACATCATCATCATGTGCCCTGCCAGTTGGCGTAGGCACGCATATCCACAGATCACGTTCTCTTGTTGCCTGGAACAGCTCTCTTGGTAATATCCCTCTATGCCTTCATTTTAGCCCATCCAGCATTATCTCTCTTGGTCTGCATCCACCAGCCCCCCCCCCCCCCCCAACCCTTTCCACTGATCTTTCCAGCTGTCACAATGTTTTCCAATGCCTCTCTTCTCATTATGTGGCCAAAGAACAGTGTATGTCTCCTTCTTATTGTTTTATACAGAGATCTACTTTCATTTGCATTCTTTCAAACAATGATTGTTAGTTATTCTGGCCGCCCAAGATATTTGTAACATCTCTGTTGCTTACAAATTCTTCTTAATTTGTTCAATGACATTCCAAGATTCGCTGCCATACAGCAAAACAGGTTCTGTGTAACATTTTAGCACCCTCTTTCTGACATTAAATAAGAGCAACTTATTGCATATTTTTTATTTTCTGAAATGCTGACTTCGCTTGACCTATTCTGCTTTTAATCTCTGTCGCACATTTTCCATCTGATAATATGATTGGTCCCAGATATTTGAATTTACTGACTTTAATCGCCAATTTGTATATTAATTATGAAACTAGAAATTACTATTTGTCAGATAACGACAGTATAACTTTCCTATAACTTTCCAAATTGTAGAACAGCTATGGCACAAGAAATCACTGATTATCAAAGACATGAAAAGTATAACTCTCTAATATGTAGAAACAAGGAAATACTAATTGTCAAATACATTGACATTATAATGTTCTAAAATCTAGAATAGCTATGGTACCAGACACTACTACTTAGTACAGACATCAAGCCCAAGTTCGAACCCCCTCTGATGCCCCTGCTATCTCAAGTCAAACCAGCCTTAAGTGGGTACCACAAAATGTCTAGAGAAGTAAAGATGGTCGACAGGATACTGACCACCTCCCCAATAGTACTGGACCATTTTCATATGTGGCACATCTAGCACATGATGCTAGACCAATGGGCACTCGGGTGATGTGGTCAAGAGCAGACTGGCTATCTTTACCACCTAAGACATTTCCTGGTACCAATTTTAGACTGGGTTGACAAGGGAGATAAGGACATTTTTTTTGTCCAAATCTGTCAGGTGTAGATGTGAACCCAAAACCTATGGGCTTGCAGCTAGCCAAGATATTACTAAACCTATCACTTCCTGATTAGTTTATGAACGAGTCTATTCCGATATGCACAAAACAACTGAGCATGAGATACACTGAACTAGATTCATCAAGATACAGTAGATGAAGTGGTTTGGCTATATCTTTAGAATGCAGAAACATCAAATACCATCACAAGCACAACATCTAAGAAGATCAGCAACAAAAGCAAAGGATGACCACTAAAAAATGTGGGTTGACAACATTAAAGACACTTTACTTCTTCATGGCACAACAATAGTCTGCGCCGCCAGGCAGCATGTTACTAGATAGTAAATTGTTTCTCCTCATAGCGCTTAGCAACAGAAGTGGTTTATGAAGATGAAGATGATGATGATGATGATGATAAAATACATTAATAAATGAGGAAACTATTAGTTTGCTTAACGTTACTTCACATAGCAGCAGAAGCCACCAATAGATCATGGCATAAGACACTGTTAACGGTTACATAAACAGCATTAAGTCAGCAAATGTAAAATTGGGTATCCGGCAATATCAAAGAAAGTAAAGGGGACTTGGCAGGATGTTGACCATATCACTCACAGAGTGCCGAGACACAAGACACTAGTAACTATTCGAGACATCACCTTTGCAACAGAGCTGGGTGAGAATAAAAACACCAACATGTACGCGAATGCATGCAGGCAATCAAACAGAAAGTATATCAACTTTTACAGACACCTATCTTGTCACAACTCAACCACATACAGAACGACATATAAACAATCAATCATGACCAAGGAGTCATACATGGAACACAATTTGAATCACCCCACAACCCGTCTGTGCACCTACCTTTTCTGCTGTCTGGCACCTCCATCCACGCTGTGTGCAGGTGACTGCGTGGAAGGAGAACTGTGGGAACTCCCTACTGGTGCCGAGGAATATTCTGGAAGGAGGTCTGGTCTTCCACCCACAGCTCCAGAACCTGAAATGTTATTATTTCAGTCAGAACAAATTAACTTTATTTCCAAAGGGTCACAAATTGGGCACACAGTCCTATCTTACATTCAGCCTTTTCAAACATTCATCTTTCAGTTGGCAGAAGTGCTAACTAAATATGGAAGACACTTCCAGTGTTTTTTCTCATCATGAGGATTATTTTTCTGCTGGATTCTGTTAAGTGCTAATGAATATACTGGCTAACTGATAATAAGAAACTACCAACTGTACATAACTAAATCAGTCAATCGCATGTTGTTTTCAGGCTGAAGGCTGGCTAAATGAATCTCCAACGCATGGTTTTTCCTCTTGGTTGTACAATTTCTTTGACTGCTGTCGGTTTATCTCTGGATGTCCTCCCACTTGTGACACTATCTGCCTCTTGCCTTCAACTATTAACTCAACTATGTTTTAACTGGCTAAAAATGTCACCCGTCTCTTTTTATTTCCCTCAGTAATGCTCTTTTCATTCCTAGACTTGTTCCAGATAAGTTTTGCCTGTGGGCATCCGTTTTAAAGATCTGGCTTATCTGTATGCAGACTGTTGGTTCCTTGCCTCTCAGTCAAATGAGCTCCAGCTTTGAAGGCAACCCCTAATTAGTCAACTCTTTACAATCTGCGTATTAGAGAGGCAGTGGGTTAGATACTGAACAGGAAGTAACCTAGAGAGGCGGGATTGCTAGTTGAAGGGTTAAAAGTTACAGTCAAGGAATTTAAAGCTTAACTCTTTAAGGCCAGAGCAATGCTGTCAATGTTGATTGAGAAGTTCTGATTGTGCAAACAACACTGCGTTGATCATGTGTCCCATTTATATTGATTCGCTTACGGCTCCGGTTTTTTTTTAAATGTTCGGAACTACCATTAAATTATTCAGGGAAGGTTACTCTAACGTTTTTCTTTTTAAGGGGGTCTTTATTTATTCTTTGTGTGGGTGCAAAATGATCTCATTCATTGCTAGTGTATTTCCCGACAGTGCATATTGTGTTCGACGCTAAGAATACCAATGTTCCAACCACCAAGTACAGGCCGTAAAATGTGTCTTTCTGAGGCCGAAACTCTGAAATTGTTTTAGTCGGATGTTTTTAATTCTGACCATGATATTAAAATTTTAATTTTTTCAGAAAGTGATTCAGACAGTGAATTTAAGCTAGCAGCAGCTGAGCGGTCAGCTGTAAGAGAATCTAGTTCTAGCAGTTCGCTAAGTCTGACACAAATAATGTTCCATTGCTACCATCTTTAGAGTATAAGAGAAGGAAAGTGCTCCAAACAAACAGAAAGACAGTACCATACTGTAGCTAAGCTACACTGAAATCATTGCAGCTACAGTCTGTATATAATTGTCATCACTGTCATGTGCCCTGCCAACTGGCGTAGGCGCTCCTGCGTCTCCACAGATCACAATCCCTGGTTGACTGGAACAGCTCTCTTGATGATATCCCTCCATGCCATTGTTTCAGCCCATCCAGCATCTTCTCTCTTGATCTGCCTCAACCCCATTTCCCACTGATCTTTCCAGTTGTCACGATGTTCTCCAATGTCTCTCCTCTCATTATGTGACCGCAGAACAGTGTTTGTCTCTTTCTTATTGTTGTATATAGAGATCTATTTTCATTAGCTTCTTTCAAGCAATCGTTGTTAGTTACTCTGGCCATCCAATGTATTCGTAACATTCACCTCAAAAACCACAACTCTGTTGCTTCCAAATTCTTCTTAACTTACAACTATACAAAGTAAATATTGTGTCTGTAATGGCCCAAGTTTCTGCAATATTTTTATTTTTTTTTATTTTGTTCAGAACTTTGTGTGAGAACTTAAGAGCCTCTGCGTGCGGAACTAACATAGAAACTTGAGCCTCTGCGTGCGAAACTAACATAGAAACTTATCATGGCTTTGGAATTTGTTAGAAAACTGAACAAACTTTAAAGTGTTATTCTCAAATTTGGATATTCACCGCTCTTGTTACTGCAAAACTTTTGTAAGTGAAGGATTTTTTTGTAAACTTTTGTAGCTGTGAAATTAACAACTGCTGAATTCTTCTTTTCTACTAACTATAACAGTATTAAACATACAATTATCATGAGATTCAAAATTTACATACATTCCTCTTTTTTTTTTTAAATATATTTTTTTGGTAGGGATCAGAAGTACATTCAGAAGAACATTCTCTATTGCCTTTTCTGTACAACACCCCATCTGGGAAATAATGTGGGCGAAGTCTGTCAAAATTCCTGGGCCTGTATGAATGTAATTGGCCAATGGCCAATGATAACGTCACATCAAATGTGATATCCTACCTACAACATGTGTTCATCGCCATGGCCAATGATAACATCACATCAAATGTGATATCCTACCTACAACAGGTGTTTCATCGCCACGGCCAATGATAACGTCACATCAAATGTGATATCCTACCTACAACAGGTGTTTCATCGCCATGGCCAATGATAACGTCACATCAAATGAGATATCCTACCTACAACAGGTGTTTCATTGCCATGGCCAATGATAACGTCACATCAAATGAGATATCCTACCTACAACAGGTGTTTCATTGCCATGGCCAATGATAACATCACATCAAATGTGATATCCTACCTACAACAGGTGTTTCATTGCCATGGCCAATGATAACATCACATCAAATGTGATATCCTACCTACAACAGGTGTTTCATTGCCATGGCCAATGATAACATCACATCAAATGTGATATCCTACCTACAACAGGTGTTTCATTGCCATGGCCAATGATAACATCACATCAAATGTGATATCCTACCTACAACAGGTGTTTCATTGCCATGGCCAATGATAACATCACATCAAATGTGATATCCTACCTACAACAGGTGTTTCATCGCCACGGCCAATGATAACGTCACATCAAATGTGATATCCTACCTACAACAGGTGTTTCATTGCCATGGCCAATGATAACGTCACATCAAATGTGATATCCTACCTACAACAGGTGTTTCATCGCCATGGCCAATGATAACGTCACATCAAATGAGATATCCTACCTACAACAGGTGTTTCATTGCCATGGCCAATGATAACGTCACATCAAATGAGATATCCTACCTACAACAGGTGTTTCATTGCCATGGCCAATGATAACATCACATCAAATGTGATATCCTACCTACAACAGGTGTTTCATCGCCATGGCCAATGATAACGTCACATCAAATGAGATATCCTACCTACAACAGGTGTTTCATTGCCATGGCCAATGATAACGTCACATCAAATGAGATATCCTACCTACAACAGGTGTTTCATCGCCACGGCCAATGATAACGTCACATCAAATGAGATATCCTACCTACAACAGGTGTTTCATCGCCATGGCCAATGATAACGTCACATCAAATGAGATATCCTACCTACAACAGGTGTTTCATCGCCATGGCCAATGATAACGTCACATCAAATGAGATATCCTACCTACAACAGGTGTTTCATCGCCATGGCCAATGATAACGTCACATCAAATGAGATATCCTACCTACAACAGGTGTTTCATCGCCATGGCCAATGATAACGTCACATCAAATGTGATATCCTACCTACAACAGGTGTTTCATCGCCATGGCCAATGATAACATCACATCAAATGAGATATCCTACCTACAACAGGTGTTTCATTGCCATGGCCAATGATAACATCACATCAAATGAGATATCCTACCTACAACAGGTGTTTCATCAGAGAAGCTAATGGTTCGGCCAGTCCTTTCAGTCTTGTGTGTAGTACTGCTGCTGCTGCCCCCCTCTTGTTGCTCTTGTATGGGAGGCTGGCTTCTGATTTTACTGGCTATCGACTTCTTCTTAGAGGGAGAGTGCTTCAAACCTGGTGGACAAACAAGTCTCGTCAAAATCACAAATAACAATAACAATTGAAGCATGACTAAAAAAAATTTTTTTTAAATATTATTTATCCTAAATACGGGATCTGCCGAAGCATAACAGTTGGACGCTCAACAGCAGGTCCAAAAGTTGTGGATTCATTTCTGCATGTTTTTTTTTAAATAACCTTTTGTTTCCAGGTCAACTTCAAGGAAATAAAGGCAGCTGGTGTGATGCTAACCACACCACTGACCAAGTGCTGACTGGTCAATCAACTACAGCTCTAGCACTATATGCCCAAAAAAGCCCAAGGGTGTGGATAGGGTCCTTTACTTTATTTTACTAAATCTGAATAGTTCCTATAATGTAATGAAAATAGCATTACAAAGGGAACACACACCATTGAGATTAAGAGAAACAGCTGTGTGTTTAAAAACTGGGCTCTCATTAATGGCACCTTACGACCATCTTAGGACGTTATTTTTTGTTATTTGAAGCCCCACTCTGGCTTTTGCCAGGGGCCGCAATATAGGCAGGTCATCATTATGGCCAAATGTCTGAACGCGGTTTCTGGGACCTCTCCACGGTGATCCTCATCCGCATGGTGGCACTTTGTGTCATCGGGTGTTTATCGCTTGTGTGATGTCCTGGTGGGGTAAAAAAGCCAAGCCAATGGCACCTTGGTTCAGATCTTCAGTTTTAAAAAAAACCAGTCATCCCCTTTGTGGGATGCAATTTTTCGTATTTTGAAGCCCCACCCTGGCTCTTGCCAGGGACCACAATATAGTCTGGCCATAAATATGGCCTAATGGCTGAATGCAGTTTCTGGGACCTCTCCACGGGTGATCCTCATCCACATGGTGGCACTTTATGTTATCATGTGTTTATCACTTGTGTAATGTCCTGGTGGGGTAAATTGTACTACTAGTACTAAATCATAAGCAAGATAAACAAATTTTTTTTTTAAATCACAGTGAAAAAAAACAATCCTAATACTTGCCCTGCAGCCCTAAATCCTGAAACTAAACATTCTGCCCTCCCCTATGCCACCTCACAAAGGCACTAACAGAGGCACTAAAGTGTCTTTTTAATAAGCAGATAAAGAATAATTGTAACATCAGTGTGTTCTGAAGGTTCCACACATGCATCGTCATCGTCTCCATTACAGCTAGACCATGATATCTGCGCTTTTCGGTCCAACACATCCGAGTTCAGTAAACCCATGTTGGTGGGTAGTGGGTCTTCTCCCCCCCCCCACCACTAAATGGGACCCTGGGACCAAGACCAGCTCCAGCTGACAGGCCATGCTGCTGACATCATCCTCAAGCTAAAAATCCTTCCAATCCCCAAGTTACCTCACAAAGTCACTGACAGGGGACCCACCCCAGGAACAAAGTTATTACAAGTCTGCCGATCTTTTCCCTGGGCTCTCACTTCCACATGAATAGGTCATCCTGGGGACAGATGCTCTGTTCCACTGGACTAACCACTTCATCCTAGTGAACATTCACCATGTCTACCTTACAGTCAAGTAGCTCAACACTCAGAGAACCAACAGCAGCCAATCTATTAGACTGCTCACTGCCCCAACCCTTTAAAAACGACATGTCCTGGGTAGGGTTTACACACGAGAGGATCAACTTGATTGCATCAGATTTTATCCTATATCCCTCCACAGAACAGTCAGTCACATGTTAAGAGTCCCACACAATGCACAAATTCTGCAGCTCCAGACAAAATCCCCAGGGATCTTTGTAAAAACTGCACTCCAACTGACCCTGTAACAAATTCACAGGAATTGACCCTGTCTGTGAAATGAACTCATAACCTTCAGAGCTAAAGCAAACAGCTCAACTGCTTGGCCACTCACAGAATGTTTATATTTTTCTGACCTGAGTTCTACCTTAAGAACATGAGTATTTGTAACATACAAAAGAAGTGACTGAAATAATCATAAAGATAATATTAAACACAATCTTAGAGCTCAAATATGATAAACAATCAAGCAGACTGATACCTGTTGACGTCTTCTTAAACACCCGTTGAGCATGGTACTGGAGGAACCGCTGAGCATAATAGCTGGGTCGGTGAACTGATATAGTGTCCTGTGGAGATATACAACAGGCATAGTCAACGTAAAAATAACAAAACGAGATCCCCTTAGGTTGCTGAAATAACATTAGCAATAAATTCACAGGTGTTGATTACGATTACAATTTATTAATTATCGGCTACAACATTCTGCTTCTTCTCCGTCCCTCTTCCTGATTACTTATTTAAGAATCGACATCATAGCACACCGGGCATATCCATAGATGCTCCGTCTCCCGCAGCAAATGTCTTAAGGTGTAGATGTTAACTGTTCCCTCAGCACACTAATGATACACACGTTGTTCTCTCTATCAAAGCGAGTCTATCAAGCCTCATGCACACAAGAAGTCTGATGTCCCATCTTGGTTGGTTTTTGTTGTTGTAATAACTACTTCATCTAGACAGGTTCTTTCTTAGGGAAACATGGGCAGGTTTCCTTGTTAACAATCCCCCCCCCCCCCTCCCACAGGCCTACTCTGCACTTATCCAGGTGTTGTGGGATTTTTGAAGTGCATAATCTGCTTGCCATGCTGAAACTGTTTGTCCTTCCTTGTCCAGAAAGGTAAGGTTTCTTTCTCACTGCCCGAAAGATCAGGGCGAAGTGTCGTATCATTAGACATCAATGGTTCTTGCAAAAGTCTACTCTTATGTTGGGATTCAAACAAAGAAATTTCAGAACAAGGAAACACCATAATCTCTGAAACACTCACAGATTTCATAAGAAAGGAACTCCCCATGTGGGATCCGGGGGCCCTATTATAGGGAAAACAAGAATAGACCCACTGCCTGCCCAAAAGCATATCGTAAGAGTCGACTAATTGGGAGCTTTCTTCAAAGTCAGAGTGCATCTGCCTGAGAGGCAAGGAACCAACAGTCTGCATAAAAATTAGTCAGTCTGACAAACGGATGCACAGGCAACACTCAGGTTCTGGAACTTGACTGCAGTCCAGAAGTGGATGAACGACCAGAACTTTCCACCAGAGTTTACCGCTGGTGAACATGAAGAAGAAAAAGATAAGAAAGGAACTGACAATGTTAATACATTTCTTTGTTTTCTTCTTTTTCTCCATGTTTCTGACCATACACATATCACATGATCACAAAAACATACCATAACAACATATGTCATGATGACAGAAACATCCCATGATGACAGAAACATCTCATGATAATAGAAACATCCAATGATGACAGAAACATTCCATGATGACACAAACATCCCTTAACGACAGAAACATACCATAATCAGACCATAACCCCCTGATCGCACAAACATCACATACAAACTGCACATGTCTGCACTCACCCCATCAATGACCATGGACTTGACCGTATGCTCCAAACGTTTCTTCAGCCGAAATGACTGCAGGATGTCAATGATACCCAGATACAGCAGCAGTCTCTCCCCCTTGGCATTTCGAGCTGGAATACCTCCAGGACTGCACGGAGACAGAAGAAGAGAATGAACACACTCAAAAGTTGTTAGAAACTGCTCCTCTCTCTCTTGGCACTGCGAGCTGGGATACTTCGAGGATTGTATGGAGAAACAAGAAGACAGTGAAACATGCAGAAACAAACTTAAGCAGCTGTCAAACACGTCAACCTTGGCAATATAAGCTAGGATACCTCCAAGACTGCAGGGAGAAACAAAAAGACAGTGAAACACAGAGAAACAAACTTAAGTAGCTGTCAAACAAATAAGTCCTCCTTGGCACTGCGAGCTGGGTTACCTCCGGGGCTGCAGGGTGAAACAAAAAGACAGTGAAACAGATAAAAACAAACTTAAACAGCTGTCGAACAAATAAGTTCTCCTTGGCACTGTGAGCTGGGATACTTCGAGGATTGTATGCAGAAACAATGAGACTGCATGAAGAAGTAACAAAAGAATGAAATATAGAGACAAACTCAAGACAGTTGTTGAAGACAGGGTCAATTCCGCTGGGCTGATTCAAGAATAAAACGAAGCAATCAGGAAACTCTGCAGCATTACTTCCTTGCCATTACAAGCTGGGATACCTCCAAGGCTGTGCAGAGAAACAACAAGAGGCAAACATACAGAAGGGAGCTAAACATAGTTTCAGTTATAGAGGCTGGCTGCTGGAATGACTGAATGCAAAAAGTAACACGGAAACCCAGAGAGGAGAAATACACAGAATTTAAGAAAATGTTTCAACCATCAGTTCTGTGTATTTCTCCTCTCTGGGTTTCCGTGTTACTTTTTGCATTCAGTCATTCCAGCAGCCAGCCTCTATAACTGAAACTATGTTTAGCTCCCTTCTGTATGTTTGCCTCTTGTTGTTTCTCTGCACAGCCTTGGAGGTATCCCAGCTTGTAATGGCAAGGAAGTAATGCTGCAGAGTTTCCTGATTGCTTCGTTTTATTCTTGAATCAGCCCAGCGGAATTGACCCTGTCTTCAACAACTGTCTTGAGCCCACTTTGTGAACCTTTGAAATTTGTTTTTCTTCAATTTGTTTAATTTGTCCTACTTTCAGGTTTTATGCATATTATTTCGTCAACAGACTCTTATCCAATTTATATATATATATATATGGAGAGAGAGAGAGAGAGAGGGAGAGAAAGAGGGAGAGAAAGAGGGAGAGAGAAAGAGGGAGAGAGAGAGAGGGGGAGGGAGGGAGAGAGAGGGAGGGAGAGAGAGAGAGAGAGAGAGAGAGAGAGAGAGAGAGAGAGAGAGAGAGAGAGAGAGAGAGAGAGAGAGAGAGAGAAATCATACTGATTAAAATTAATCCAGAGTCACAAAACATGAAAAGTATTGTTAGTTTGGTTTTGTTCTGCAGCTGTTTTAAGTTCACTGTATAATGATTAACACACTGAGGTTAACATTACAATATCAATATGCCATACACATGCCTCAAGCATACTTTACATTTGAAACAACTCAGAATAAAGCAGAATAGAACCATGGTGATGTCCCATATGTTACACGATAGAAATGTTGCAGCGTACACACAAGAGTTAAATGCTGCTATAAAGTATTAATATTAGTGGCGCACATTCTATAGTTAGTGCATGTGCTAAAACTGCCAAAGATGAAAAATCTCAATATGTCTAGAAGTAACTTGACCCTGTTGCTTTGAAACGCAGCAAAAACCTACACTTCTGGCTGAGTCCAGTTCCCAGAGAAAGCCACTTGCCCAACTTTTCTACAGTGATCTGTTTACAAGAAGCATAGTTAACACTACTACTGGTTGTATTTGCACCTGTGCAGCATTAGGAGACCAGGATATGAATACATTTAACTAAAAAAAAATAGCATTTAGAAGAGTTGTACTGTTAACCAAATGGTTTTTCAAAAGCCATGTTGACGTCAATTTTCTTCTTCAATACCTTAGCAAGAGGTCATGGCATCAGTGATCCGTTATATATTACTTAGGCCCTGTGGAATGTTTTCTGCTTAATACTTCACTCTGATCATGTTTATTGAGACTCCATTTATATATCTATATACATTAAGAGCAAATTTCCACTTGCTGCTTCTCTGTTCATGCTTATTCATACTTCCTTTATACATCTTTATATATTTAGAACAGAAATCTGCACGAAGATAAATACATGTTTTTTAATATAGGCGTGACATAAGTCAAATAGCTACTTTGTAAAGAATTTGTGGCTAACTCCCATGGGTTCAAGACATGTTCTGGGGTAACATGGTTAATACAACATAAACTATGACCAGAAAGATCAACAGAAGAGGAAGCACTGGGGGAGCATAGGAATCACAGCTTATTGCAATGGCAAGTATGACTATCAAGACCTGCTGGCGTTAAGAAAAGTCCTCCTCTCCATGGCATAGAGGCTGTTCAGAACTGTAGAGACAATGTGTTGTATATGCACTACAGCCTGCCTTGTTTACTCCAGAGGAAAGGTAACACCGGTAAGTTAAAAAAAAAAACTGCTACAGAAGTGTGCTGATCAGAACAGCGGTGATGGTCTGCGGGTCGCAGCTCCCTGTCTAGACCAGCTGCCAGACAAAGCTAAGAGTCTGGTCTCCCCTGCCATAACACTGCTTTCAGGTCCCATTTTCTCTTCCTTTAATATGGCTATTATACTCATGAATATGCTCCTCTGAGTGAAGGCGTCTGCCCAATTTAGGATGACAGGCTTGGTAAATGCCACCCCCCACCCCCCCAACTTTTGGTTTTAACAGAACAGGTAGCATTGTTGACTATTATATGGTTGTTCAGTCGTAGTTGACATCAGAATCTTGTCAGGGACAGCACTAAGAGAAATTAGAAACTTGCCACAGATAGCACTAAGAGAAATAAAAACTTGTCCCATTCTGTATCTTTGGGTAAATCATGAATAGAAATAAATCAACAGCAGACTGGCAACAAATAGTAGCAATGCAAGCCCATAAAAATGTTAGTGAAAAGAAAAAGTTTTAACCGCAGGTGTAAATGACATGCATACCAAACGGAAACGTGTGTACTGCTCAGCCAATGAGGGATGTTGTTATCTAAATCCAACCTAGAAGAAACATCCAATCAACAACCATAACACTAAACTAAAGCAACCAATCACAGTTAATAGATACAATACGTTGACAATGACCATAACCTCAAACTGTGTTTTAAAAAAAAAATGTTATGTGTTAACTATAACTGCAACCTCATAACTAATGTCAACATCCACCAAAAGGAAATTTGTGTTTTGTAGTGTAACCCAAATGTTCCTCATGTTAAAAGAGACAGTAAAATATTAGCACCATTACTTTAATTAAGAATGAGTAGTAATTTTCTTTGAATGAAATAAAGATGAATATACGATTCGACAGGTCCAACAAACCAGTAGAAGATGCACTGTCTACACAGCAGTGACTAAGAAGAAGCTGTGTGAATGCACAGAAAATCAACATGCAATGTGCTCAAGCAAATCATGTACTGGGACAACTATAATTTTTCTTGTGTTCTTGGTAGGTATGCCAACCAATAAAGGATACTGTCCCAGATAAATACTGACTACCAAGAAGAAAGCTCACCATCATGTAGCATGTCCTTTGCACATTATACTCTGCCTGAAAGGAACTCACCAGCTCTCTCACCTCGTTTACTTTCATGTTCAAGGAGTCATTTGTATCCTGTGCCTATCTTCACGCAGGTCAAAACCTGGCCCTCCTTCCTGGTACCATGCTCTCTACTATTATTTGTTCCAATCTGCCATGGCCAAAATATTTCAGCTTCTGAGACAAGATGCTCTTTACTAGCCAATCTTCCTTGATACTCAGATCTTGTAAAATGTCAGTATTTCTTCTCTTCTTTATCCATAGTATTCCAAGAACTTTTCTTTAGCATTTTCTGCTCAAAAGCCCCTATTTTCTTTCTTAAGGACTGTGAGATAGTCCACGATTCACATTCGTATGTTGTCTACAGGGAAGACGCATGCTCTCAAAATTTTAATTTGGATTTCCTTGCTGGTGTTTAACCGATGACTTTATATGCTGTTAAATCTTTGCATTGCTATGGCTATTTGCATTGCTATGGCTATCCTCCTTTTGATTTCTGTCAAAATGTCTCCACTGCTATCTATTTTATAGGGCCTAGATATTCAGTTCTAGCCAAGAAGGCTAGAAATATATCAAACACTGATGGAGGCAGCGAAAGGATGCAGAATTCTGCATGTTTGCTGTCACTCTGATAAATTATAAAACAGTGAGTTTTCACAAAATTATTCATAGGAATTCACAAAATTAGGCAGTGAGTAACTAAATAATTGATACCAGGTGAAACTAGTCTTGGTTTAAGTTATTGGATTATTTCAACTTGAAACTGGATATTCTTCATGCAAAACTTCAATAAAAATTAGATATGGAACATACAAATCTTTTAAAAAAAAAAAGCCTTTTGTATTTGCAAGTCTTTAAACAAAAATGGCATATTCTACATGCAAATCTTCACCAAAAGTTGGGGTAAAAAAAAAAAAGTATGAATCGCCTTAGAATGCTAAAAGGCGGCATCAAGGTGATGATTTTATACACCTTTTGTAGTACCTAGTGTTTTTTCTTTAAATAGCAGTTAAGCAAAAAGTAAAGGATCTGTGTCCACACCTTACAATCAACTAACTAACCAGTCAGCTATCCAACCAATCAGCTAACCGACCAACCAATCAGCTAAGCAGCCAATCTTTTAGTTAACCAACCAATCAACTACCCAAATAATTAGCTAATCAACCAATCAGCTAACCAACCAATCAGCTAACCAACCAATCAGCTAACCAACCAATCAGCTAACCAACCAACTAATTAATCAGCCAAGCAACCAGTAGGCTAACCAGTCAACTAATTAATCAACCTAGAGAAACGGTGGCACTTAAAATTGTATTCACTACTTGGTACAAAGGACACAAAAGTGCAGCAAAAAAGTATGTGTCATTGAATCACCGAGATAGAGGATACCCAGACAGATACATAAAACTTACGGGACATCAGCATCGTCCATCAGATCTTCCGGCAATTCAGCATTTCCCTGAATGGATTCCATGGGTGTGGAATACTGGCCGATTCTGGTTTTGAATGATTTGCCACGTTGTAAACTTGTGTGGTGACTTGCTGGGGAAAAAAATACAGAAATGATGCCAATGTGGCAAGCTTATTTTTGAATTTAAATTTCAAGTCACTAGCAAACTTGGTCTGGGACAATAACCAAATAACACAACAGAAAACTAACCACCTGATAAATGAGATATTTGAGAAAGTCTATAGACAAAAGTAGAAAAGACTGTGTGAGAAACCTTCTTAACATTCAATGGTTGTAAACTCCGGCTAAAAGTTCTGGCTGTTTGTCGATTCCTGCCTTTTGGTCTTGATCCTGAACCTTGTGAGCACAAACTTTTAAGAAATCTGGCTTATTTGTATGCAGACTGTTGACTCCTTGCTTCTCAGGCAGATGCATTCCTGGCATTTGAAGGAAACACCCCTAATTAGTCATCTCTCACGACATCCTTTTGCTGGGGGGAAGGGGGGGTCTTCAAAATGGAGCCCCGGAACACACACAGGAGTGTGAAAATTAAAAAGATTAAAAGAACTATTGGAACATTACCTATCACTATATTCAATGACAAACAAGGATTGAAATGGCTCAACCACTTAGTGAGAATGAATCCAGCAATGCAGCCTATTACATGAAACTGAAAACACCAGGAGGGAGACCTACAAGAAAATGGACTGAAGAAGTCACTGGCAGGCTAAGATTTCACAACATCACAGCACACCTAGCAAATGACCCCCACCCTAGCCCGCTACCTGCCACCTATTTCAGTGACGTCTAGCCACACAATCCATATACTGACTAAAAGAAGAAAGAAGTTTGTCATTTGCTCAGTGCATTTGTTTCCCACTTCAGTGCCTGTTTAGAGGTTCTCTGTCCACTTATTATTTGCCCACTATAATGCCACTTCTTTTTTAAACAGCTACTGATGCAGTGACTGTCCAGATATTTCTCTTATTTCTTCGCCTTTCTCAAATTCATCAATTTTCTTAGGCAGGTATTTTTGAATACATGTCTGTTTCCTTGGATGTCTTTAGTACTTCTCCAACTTTCACTGGCCTATGTTAAAAACTAAGGTAATATCTATTTACTTAAGGAGAAATCAGTGTCGTCTTCATCGTAGCTTGTAACCTGAAAGAACACAGCAAGAACTTTCTTTTTTCCTTGGACGGCATTCTCAATATCCTGTGCCAGTTTTGTCAACTGAATCCTATCTTCTTCTTCTTTCGTTCGCCTGAAATAAGTTGTCTATATCAGCAATTTTGTCTCTTGTATAAATTTCACTGTTGTTGTTAATTCATTCAGTGGTCCATAGAGTTTACGTTCCACTGTTGTTCTTTCTGGCCAAAAGGTTTTCCTTGATGTGTCAAATTCGGTGCAGTCCTGGAGTACATGCTCTGCTGTCTGGGGCACCTTTCCACAGGGGCACATGGCTGATACGCCTATCTTGAATTTTGTGTACATGTGGTTATGTAATCGGTTGAGCCCTGTTCTGAGGCGGAGGATAATGACTTGTTCTGGTCTGTCCATAATAAAATAGTCGTCTTGTGCTGGGGCTGGTGGTTTCATGATCGATTTAATGATTCTTTTATTTTGGTGGTATGTGACTGGTACATCCGGCTGCTCTTTTGTCGCACCTTCCCCTGCCAGTTGATCAGCTTTCTCATTTCCAGGCACTCCACAATGAGACGGTATCCACTGCATTACGACTCTTCGCTGAAGGCTAAGTTGTGTCAGCAGTGTTTGCAATTCTGGTAGTTTCCTAGACTGGAGTGCTTCAAGTACGGATTTAGCATCTGTCAGCATTACCACATACTGTGAGTCAAGATTGGTATTTAGCAGTTTCTCTGTTGCTATCTTGATAGCCCGAGTTTCTGCATCATAGTTATGACAGTACTTTCCGGTTGGTACGCTGGACTTATCCCTAGTACTATCTGGGAATTCTATGTACACTTCAGCACCACCATTTCTAACTGCACTTTCTGCAGACTCATCTGTATAGACTCTGACACATTGTTCTTGTGGGTATTCTTCATCAATATAATGAGGGTGGCCATTCTGCGTTGTACACTACCTTCTCCTTTCTTGTCAAATATTCCTTTCACATTTGTCTGGATTTGTACTGTTAGTTTGCATTTCTCTCTCCATTGGGTTTGTTCTGGAATACTGTTAAGTGGACAACCAATTTCTGGAAGGTCAGCAGTTTGTTTACACATTCTTTTTGCTTGATGTATAAAGCTGCTTCTTTTTAACCGTCCCAAGGCTAGGTTCTGAAATCTATATTTTTCTTAGATGTCCGTATCCTGCGTGCGTGGTGGTGATTACCAAGTTTGTCTCCAAGAACCGCATTAGTAAAAATTTAAATTGTGGTGACTTCTTAGCTTTGTGGCATATATCGGAGTTCGATCCCCCAGATTTATTTTATAAAAACAGACCAAGACTAATTTTCTTGTTTCTTCTCCCCTTCCTCTAGTTTCTTCTCCTCTTCCTCTAGTTTCTTCTCCTCTTCCTCTGGATTCTTCTCCTCTTCCTCTAGTTTCTTCTCCTCCTCCTCTAGTTTCTTTTCCTCTTCCTCTAGTTTCTTTTCCTCTTCCTCTAATTTCTTCTTTTCTTCCTCTAATTTCTTCTTTTCTTCCTCTAGTTTCTTCTTTTCTTCCTCTAGTTTCTTCTCCTCTTCCTCTAGTTTCTTCTCCTCTTCCTATAGTTTCTTTTCCTCTTCCTCTAGTTTCTTTTCCTCTTCTTCTAGTTTCTTCTCTTCTTCCTCTAGTTTCTTCTCTTCTTCCTCTAGTTTCTTCTCTTCTTCCTCTAGTTTCTTCTCTTCTTCCTCTGGTTTCTTCTCCTCTTCCTCTAGATTCTTTTCCTCTTCCTTTAGTTTCTTCTCCTCTTCCTTTAGTTTCTTCTCCTCTTCCTCTAGTTTCTCAGGGAAGAGATGTAGGGAATTATAAAGTTGTTTTTCTTCATAACAACATTTTAAAAAAAGGTCATTTTATTTTTTAAAGCGGCATCCGCTGCTTAGGCGTTGTGAGTCCAACATACTGTGATCGAAACCCACTGCTGGCTGCGTGGATTTTTATCATGGTATGGGGCATCGCAGATCGACCCAGCCTTAGATTGGTACCAGGATGTATGTTCTGGGAAAGTAAAGACGGCCGGCGTAATGCTGACCACATTACCCACCTAGTTCCGATTGGTCTGTAAAATTATGGGTGCTATTCCCATGTGCCGGATGTGCCTAAGGCGTAAAAAGGGATCTTTTTTCTTTTATTTTTTAAAGATTTTTGCGGGGTTTAGGTTAAGACAACGGATCAACATCATGGCACAATGGTAGTAAGCCATAAGTTCTCCGCTCTATTTTTAACTCAAACCCGAGTCTGAAGAATCCCAGCGCAGTGAACGAACTCCGAAAATCAGTGCATGATTTCTTTTATGTGCGCAACAGTACACATAGGCGTCTGATCTTTTTACCCAGAGACAAGGAGAAATTACTAGAAGTCCAGGTGAAAAAATCTCAGCTTTCACTGGGGTCTGAGCCCGGGACCTCCAGCACTCGAGGCAGACGCCATGCCCCAAGACCACTCAGCTCCCATTCTGCGGGGTGAAAGGGTTAAAATGGCATCAACATCAGCCTGTTCAGAGAACAATGGCAAACTAGTAAGCACGAAATTGACAAGCTAAATCACGCAACAGGCGATAAACGGTGGGGTTGGTTTTCAAGGAGGAATGCAACCAACTTAACCAGCCATACATGTTGTAAGGGGACAGATGTGATGGAAGAGACAAAAGGCCCATTTACTTGGAGGATGTCCGTCAACTGTATGTGGTCCTCCAGTATCGTTGCCTCCAGACATTTCACTGGTGGCGTTCTGTGACATCTGCACAGGAAGAGGATGACAGTAAATTATATAACATAGCTGCACAAATCATAAGTAATAAAAAATTTTTTTAAAGATGTACATCTATTCACTATAAGTAATGAAGACTTTAATGCACAGGTACACATCATAAGTAACTTATTCTCAGATGTATCATAAATAATTAACTGCATATTCATATAAGTGAACACTTTGATGTAAATTTATACATCGCAAATAATTAACACATAGATATGCACTGACACCCTGTAAGTCATCATCATTTTGTGTGTGCCGTTAGATGTCACATAAGGCTTGCATCGATTCCTCCACTCCACTTAACTACATGCAACTCTCTCGATTTCTGACAGAGTTCAGCCACACGTTTTTTTTGCTTCTCTTCATAATGATCTTCTTCGTGTTTTTCTTGGACGTCCTCTTTATCAAACCATTTGCTTCCCATTTCAGTGCTTGTTCTGTAATTCTTTGCTCATTTCATCTTAGAGTGTGCCCAATATATCTCCACGTTCTTTGTCTTATTGCAGTCGATACAGGTATTTGTCCAGACATTTCTCTGATCTCACTTTTTTTATTCATCCCATTTTTTCTCAAGACATTTATTTTTAAATGCATTTAACTTTTGTTCCATATCTTTTGCGGTTATCCAAGTTTCGCTGGCATATGTGGAACTGAAATAACATTAGAACTGAAGATTCGTAGTTTGGTCCTAAAGCTGTATAACTTGGAGCCCCATATACTGTTGCTTTGCCAATGTATATCTTAATTTCCTTTTCTGTATCTCCTTGTGAGTCAAAATTTCTACCCAAATAGGTAAAATGGTCCCATTACTTTAATTGATTTGTTCTCTAGCATGACACCTATATGATCTGTTGTTGGTATCTTTAATATATTTGTTTTCTCAAAACTTATTTGTAGTTCTAATTTTGATGTTGTAGACTACAAACTGTCTAGGTTTCTTTGCATATCTTTGTTATTTTTACTAAACAAAACAATATTATCTGTGAAATCCAGATCTTCCAGTTCTATTGCACTATGAGGTCCTGTTATTTTTTTTTTTTTTTTAAATACTTCTTTCCAACAAGTTCATTTTGGGTATTCATCTTCTTAGCATTACAAGTGTTTCACTGTCAGTGAATCCGCTCAAGAGGCGAGGAACCAACAGTCTGCATACAAATAAGCCAGATCTGTAAAACTGATGTGCAAGCACAAACTCCAGTTCTGCGACCAGAGTTTATTGCCGGTGAATACCAAGAAGAAGGCTAAAATTAGCATGTGAATTATTTTTATGTGTGAAAATATTCCCTTTTTAGTCACTGAGCTTGTTTTGCAACTTGTAGCTATTGACAACATATTTTGTTGGCCAAAGGGACTGAATGCAGTTAACTACTTTCTTCCTTTGTGCTTAATGATTATTCCCTGTTATTTCTATACTACCCAAATAAGATTTTAAAACATAACATTAAAAAAAAAAATTTTTTATTGTGTGAGACTGTTTTGGGGCAAAAGGGTGAGTGAGGATTAGAACCTGTATCCCATAAAATGTAACCTGCTAGTCTAACCACATGAAACTTACTGTCTAACCACATGAAACTCACTGTCTAACCACATGAAACTCACTGTCTAACCACATGAAACTCACTGTCTAACCACATCACTGTCTAACCACATGAAACTTACTGTCTAACCACATGAAACTCACTGTCTAACCACATGAAACTCACTGTCTAACCACATGAAACTCACTGTCTAACCACATGAAACTCACTGTCTAACCACATGAAACTCACTGTCTAACCACATGAAACTCACTGTCTAACCACCACATGAAACTCACTGTCTAACCACCACATGAAACTCACTGTCTAACCACCACATGAAACTCACTGTCTAACCACATGAAATTCACTGTCTAACCACATGAAACTCACTGTCTAACCACATGAAACTCACTGTCTAACCACATGAAACTTACTGTCTAACCACATGAAACTCACTGTCTAACCACATGAAACTCACTGTCTAACCACATGAAAATCACTGTCTAACCACATGAAACTCACTGTCTAACCACATGAAACCCACTGTCTAACCACCACATGAAACTCACTGTCTAACCACATGAAATTCACTGTCTAACCACATGAAACTCACTGTCTAACCACATGAAACTCACTGTCTAACCACATGAAACTCACTGTCTAACCACCACATGAAACTCACTGTCTAACCACCACATGAAATTCACTGTCTAACCACCACATGAAACTCACTGTCTAACCACCACATGAAATTCACTGTCTAACCACCACATGAAACTCACTGTCTAACTACATGAAACTCACTGTCTAACCACCACATGAAACTCACTGTCTAACCACCACATGAAACTCACTGTCTAACCACATGAAATTCACTGTCTAACCACATGAAACTCACTGTCTAACCACATGAAACTCACTGTCTAACCACATGAAACTCACTGTCTAACCACATAAAACACTGTCTAACCACCACATGAAACTCACTGTCTAACCACCACATGAAACTCACTGTCTAACCACATGAAACTCACTGTCTAACCACATGAAACTCACTGTCTAACCACATGAAACTCACTGTCTAACCACATGAAACTCACTGTCTAACCACATGAAACCCACTGTCTAACCACATGAAACACTGTCTAACCACCACATGAAACTCACTGTCTAACCACCACATGAAACTCACTGTCTAACCACCACATGAAATTCACTGTCTAACCACCACATGAAAATCACTGTCTAACCACATGAAACTCACTGTCTAACCACCATATGAAACTCACTGTCTAACCACATGAAATTCACTGTCTAACCACCACATGAAACTCACTGTCTAACCACATGAAACTCACTGTCTAACCACCACATGAAACTCACTGTCTAACCACATGAAATTCACTGTTTAACCGCATGAAACTCACTGTCTAACCACATGAAACTCACTGTCTAACCACCACATGAAACTCACTGTCTAACCACCACATGAAACTCATTGTCTTCTCTTCTATCTGAAACTTACTCCTCTCTCCGTCTGTTCTTCTTGCATTTCTATTCTATCTCCCTCACTCTACTAAGCCACTTCTTTTTTTCTTTTCTGCCTCACTTCTTCTTCAGCATTCCCGAGTCTTTGAGGTTCACTGCTGCAGATATCATCCCTGTGACTGGTCTTCTCTTTCCAGTTGGTGAATCCAAGTGTCTGCCTGCACATTATATCTCCGCTGTCTTCTGTGTCTGCCTCATGGTCTACTCCCATTTAACTCTTCCTCTCACGCACTCTAATGCTCTCTCTCCCACACATACACTCTCAAACTTACACACATACATTTCCCCCCCCCCCCAGCCCTCTCTCTCTCACAGGCTCTCACTCCCATACTCCTACTACTCACTCTCTCCTTCTTGACCAGGTCCAAGTTATAAATGCCAATTAGTAAACTGTAGTCCATGATCTTGAAACTTTCCAACACCTGCCAGAAAGAAAGTTAAGAGACAGTACATTCAACAATTTGTGAACAAAATTAGCAGTATCCAGTATGTGTATCTTATGATGGAGACAAACACATCATCCAATGTGGTGTATAGCAGCAGGGTGCACAGCTGACAGCACATATATAACACAGTTCTGGCATCTCCTACACAGACTGGTTGGCATCACTTGATAAGACTCAGATCAGGGGCGTATTATGGATTTTCTGTCCAGGATACTTAGGTGTGCGAGGTAACAACAGGATGATAGATTTGGTGCCGAGGTAAGCTACTTTATGATATTGTGGATGTAGTGAAGGCTCTCTGGAATCAAATGGACAGTGCACGCACGCACACACACACTCTCTCTCTCTCTGGTTGGCACTCTATGGTTGATGTGGTCAATTTCACAGCAGCCACCATTACTTCCCCAGATCATGCATGTGTGACCTATATCAAAGGCAATATACCTGACATTTAAAAATGTATTAGACAGTATAAGCAACCGACTCAACAGTACAAGAAAAAAAACCCAAAACAACAAGGAACCTACCCAACAGTCAAAAATAAACCAGACAATACTAGTAAACTACTTAACAGTACCCAAAAAAAAAAAAAAGTATAAAGAACTTACCCAAAAGTTACACACAAGATAGTACTAGAAACCTACCTAACAGTAAACAAAAAAGAAAAAAAAAAATACTAAAGTATGAGGAATGCACCCAAGAGTAAAAAATACACCATACAGTTACCCCCCCCCCCCCCCCCCCCCAAATTCCACCTGGTAGCCAAAAATACACCAGAGAGTCATGAAACCTCCTCAATAGTCAAATATACAGCAGACAGTACAAGCTGTACCCAAGAGTCTTATATACAGCAGACAGTACAAACCAAACACCCAACAGTCTTATATAGACCATACAGCAGCAAGAAAACCTACCCGACAGTCCCGCTGTAATGTTTTAATCAGTGCGTCGTATGTTTCCTTCTCCAGCAACAGCCCCTCTGGATGGTTCTCCATAAAGTCTAGATCCTTCAGTGTTGGGCAACTCTTGGAGCGTTCATGTTTGGAAGCCTTACGCTTGTAAGTGCTGCCTTTCATGTCATACTTCTCATGCAGCTTGACGGTTGATGGCAGCAGGTTGTTCATCACTGTAAACCGAATGTTTTTCCCTCCACACTGTGGACAGACAGTTGTTGCATCATTAATTACACAACATTCTATGTGTGGGTTCTGTGGCCCTGTTTTGGGGGTAATCAAGAAGAGATCCACAAATTCGGAGATAAGGAAAGGCAGAAGAAAATAACATTAGTTAGTTTTCCCCATGAGAAGCCAGCTTCAGGCTCAGAAATGAGATTTCTGAGAAAGGTGGTCCAAGTGATAAAGTCCACAATCAGACAATACGTCAAGATCTTGATACCCAGCCCTAACAAACCCGAGTGGATCAATCACAGTTACGATAGTTTGGACATGTATGCAGAATAGGAGAAAATCGGCCACCATGAAAAGCATGGGAGGCCAAGAACCAGGGAACCAGACCTCCAGGGCCCGCTGGGAAGACAACATCCGAAAGTCCCTAACTGACAGAGGACTGGAATGGAACAAAGACAGGAAGAAAACTGCTGATAGAGACGTCTGGCGATCTCTCTAGCAAACCTCTACACCCCAAGGTAGAAGAGGATCGACTAAGTAAGTAAGTTTTCCCCGTGTCGATTACAGGGCTCCATTTTGGGGAAAAGAGAATAGACGACACATTGCCCCCTTACACGCATGTCCTGCGAGGAGACCAATTAGGGGTGTTTCATTCAAAGTCGGAATAAATATACCTCAGAGGCAAGGAACCAACAGTCTGCACACAAAACTCAAGTTCTGGATCAAGACCAACAAAGTCCAACAGTGGTTGAACAACCAGAACTTTCTGCCACAGTTTAAAGCTAGTGAGGGATTAGAAGAAGAATTTAGTTAGTCTGGGAGGTAAAGGAAGGAAGAATGCAGAAAAAGAAGAAAACATAGGTTTCCTTATTTAGTCTGGGAGATAAAGGAAGGAAGAAGAGTGCTGCTAGCTGTCCAAAAGAGAAAGAAAAGATGCAATAACACTGCAACCTAGTATCCATGCAGGGCCCAATTTACCCTTTAGTCTAAACAAGATTTAACTTCCACAGTCCCTGAAAGCCTCAATTTTCAGAATTCATTTTAGGAATTGCATTTTTTTCCAATTGATATTTTCATTTCAAATTCACAGCCATTGTTGCTCCTGAGCTACTCATCTTCATGAAACAACCTTGCCAGGTAGCTTAACAATCTTCCTTTCACTTCCCAGGCCAGGAATATCAGTGGTGGCCTCTACATCAAATCTGGTTTATTTCAGCTAGAGGTGATTTGGCACCAGACTGATCTGCATTGATTTTGACAATGGTAATGGAGTGCCAACTGTTTAGTAACAATATCCAACTACTGATGTAAAAATGCCTCGTTAAAACCTCAACAGCCAAAAAATGTTGGGTGACCTATGACATCCAAAAGAGGTTGCAAAAAATAACATCATTAATAAATGTGATAACAACATACTGCTGATCTTTACAAGAACAAAAAACAAATCAAGTAACAACATAACCAGGTACCTGATAGCAGAAGAGGCCATAAAACTTTGGCAACAATGTCCGCTTGTTTTGACTTATGTTCTAAGAGGAGGAAATTGAAATAAATCTGTTAAATAACAAAGTAAATATATTTTATTAATAAAGTAGCTAGCATACGCAATGTTAACACTATTTACAATTTAGGCTAATGAAGAAATAGAATAACATAATCTTTTTATTTTCATCTCCTGAAATCTTATCTTTACCACCATCAGAATCTTCTTGAAAAATAAAACTCCCAGACAATATGGAGGACAGAAAGGTTTACTGCTTTTTGTCGTGGCAAGGTTTAGCCAATGCATTTTCCTCCATGTGTAGACTGAAAGGATATAGTTTCATTGCCCAGCTTCTAAGCAGAATGCATGGTGTGAAACTAAGCTGCGAATTTCACTTGAAATGTTTTCTGAATATGACCAAGGTGGTTTGTGTTGTGAACTGTAGATTCAGAAATTGTTGAGTGCCCTACTGCCACAGAAGTGGTGGTGCCTTATGTGATTAATCGCTTGTGTAACTACTGATCTGTTTTGTAACTGCTGCTTCCACCGACGATGAACTGCATTTCTAGTGTTGGACTGTTTTGTGTTGGCACTTCTGATGTCTGCCTTGTGCACTTAATGCGTGCCTATGCTACTGGATATGCTGACTGCAGTCTATTCTAATTTTTCCCCACAAGGGACAATGATTGACATTCTGTATGGCTTCTGTTAGCACAGAAACAGAGCAACTATGGGGCTGAAACTGCAATTATCTGATGTTACTCAATGACGCTTTCACTTTTTCGTATCTCATAACGATCGTAATGATTATACATACCACATATACACACACACAAAACTTCTTAAGAGTCCATGCCGTGTGGCGTTGGTAGTCATGTCCATCCACAACCTTCTTGTGTACTTTCAATCAACTCTGACACAGATGATCTTCCATGCCATGATGTCAAACTGTTCTCTGGGTCTCCCTCTGCCTCTCCTCCCCTCCAACTTTCTAACCGTCATGATGTACTCCAGTTTTCTCCTGCTCAACACATGACCACAGAATGTAGATTGTCTCTTTCTGATATGGGCAATCAGTTCTCTTCATAAGCCAGTTTCTTTTAAGACATCTTCATTTTTCTTTTTAATTTGTCCAAGGTATTCTCATCATCTCTGCTCCAAAAAAACTTTTCACTAATTTACTAACTGTTTATGATTCACACCGTATATCAATATAGGATTTATACAGCTTTCAAGAGTTCTTTTTCTCATCTCAAATGACAAAGAAAGACTGCACACAAAATGCTTCATCTTGTAAAATAATGCATTTGCTTGAGCAATTTGACATTTAACTTCTTTAATACATCCAGCATCTGATGTCAGGGTACCCAAGTACTTAAAACATTTCAACTTGTTAAGGTTTGTCCTTAAAGTACTAGTCAATTTCTCGTCCCTTTTTAGGAAGAAATTTTTCCTTCTTTAAAGCCCTACTCTGGCTCTTGCCAGGGGCCGCAATATGGTCTAATGGTTGAACACGGTTTCTGGGACCTCTCCACGGTAATCCTCACCCACATGGTGTAACATTATGTCATCGGGTGTTTATCGCTTGTGTGATGTCCTGGAGGGGTAGAAAGTCAGTCAGTCAAGGTTTGTCCCATTTACTTTGATTTTGCATTTTGCAAAATCAAATTCCGTTGGAATTACCCTTACTTGTTTTTCTACTGTTTAAGTAAGACCCTTGTTTTTACTTTCCGTTATATATATATATATCCAAAATTTCTTGCAGTTGTGTTTAATTTTCAGCATTCAAAACTATATCGTTAGCATATCGCAGGTTGTTAACAATATGCCCACCATACCATGAATGGATCTAATTATTATTTTACTATAGCAATAAAACAAATCGGGGACACACAAATAACTAGGCATTTGTTCAAATAGGTTAGAATTTTAGAATTTCACAAATTACACATACCAAGAAATATCCAGGCAGCAGTTTCTGTAAAAAGTCTGCTTCCTTGTGCTGTACAGTTTTGATGATGAACTCGTCGTCCTGAGTCAGGTAGAAGATGCTCCCACTAGCTCCTGGATTTGACAGTTCCTTCAGTGGCTCATCGCACAATGAAAGCTGAAACACGAGATAAGCTGGTTACAATGTGTCTCTGAGATGAGACACTAGACAAAACACCATGGGGAGGAGGGAGACATGAAAGAGAAAACAGAGTAGAAGAAACAGTAAAAGATCTCAAAGACAACAAAAGGAGAAAGAAAAGCAGAAGATCAGAGCAGCAGCAAGATAAGAAGATGCAGGCGGAGTAGAAAAGGGGGCAAACAAAGAAAAAGAAGTTGAGGGGGAGGAGGAGGAGGAGGTGAGGAGGAGAAGAAAAAGAAGCAAAAGGAGCACTGAAAACAAATTTTAGGACAAACAGCACTAGTCAACAACCCACCAATCTACACTTGTACACATATCCATTGATTTCTTTTATATTTACCACCCGTATTTGAGTTGAGCTTAGTTGATTTAAGAATTGACATCACAGCACTCGGGGCATTTCCATAAGCACTCAGTCCCCATCTTCAGCAGCCACTGCAGAGTTAGAGTACCCATATTTTTTACTTGCAAGTTAATAGATATATGCACAACCATCAAACATGCTCACTACTTTATCGCCAGTAGCCCAGGAGCGAATGAATCCTGAATGAACTAAATCTTGAACTGTAAGGCTCATACTTTCAGGCACCCAACTTAAGAGAAATCTGGCAATGGATTCCACGATGCCACAAAATAAAGAAATGAAAGCATGAACAACGCTTGTACCTGTGACATTTTATGAGGTATTTTTGTAAGCTGAGAGGTTTCAGATGTCGGATTCAGTGACAGTATAAATCTTTATGTTATGACTGTAAGTACAACATACTCATGAACTCTCAGGACCCTAGCATTCATCCTCTGACATGTTTGTATCGAGAGGACATCATCGTTGCAGAATAAACTGAGGTTTTATCAGTGTCACGCAGCACACGTTCCAGTGTTACAGTGAGTGCTTAATCAATGTGTCAGAGTAGACCGCAATAAACAGAGCTGAAAGAGAGCCATGACAGTCCGCCATGGGCCTCATACTTTTAAACAGTTTCAACTTTTCTCGTTCCATCTTAGGAAAAAATTTAAAAGACGACCAAGTTCAACCTGTTGCTGGACTTTTAAGTTTAATGATGAACTTCTAGTTTATAAATACTAGAATTGCAAAACAGATGGCATTCTAATGTTGAAGGTTTGTGTGTGTAAACATTCACAGACCCGTTAAATTGCGGTCTAGGAACACTAAATGGAAAAGACCAACCTAGAGGATTCTGCTAGAGACTACAGCTAGTGAAGAGACATGAAAAAAAGGAGAGACTTTCAACAATGTCCCGCTTATACATATCTTATCATAGTACAGTCCGACCCTGATATATTCTACCTAACTACACCCAAAGTTAATAATAAGTTAATAAACTCTCCAATGTAAATTTAAGCAGTACTTACCATAAAATCATCTGGCTGGATGCCAAATAAGTCTCGAAA